TGACTGGGCTCCATGCACCGATTCCTCGCACGTGGGGGATCCTTGAAGCACCCCGGGCCTCAGGGACTAGGAAACTGTGGGCGCCACAACACATTTCATTTGGAGTACGGTTTCCGTTGCCGAGAGCCCCACCGCGTTGGACACACCAGACTTGGGCTGTACAGGACATGGGGATGAGCTGTCTGGGTGGGGACGGACATAACTACATGCGTACACACTGCGGCCATTTCACCTCTATGACTTCTACCTGTCGCCGCCGAATGCAAATATCCTGAAAGACAAAGGATTGGATCCTAGGGGGGGGTGAGTTATAAGGCGGCTCAGAAGCAGAGCTCAATGCCATTTTGAGAGGGAACTTGATGAGGTTGGACGCTCGACTCGTCGCTCTGCTGATCGCCCTTCAACCGCGAGACAACGCAGCCTGGCGAGCACAATTGCTGTGTCGACAGTTAGGCGACTTTGCATCGGGAGAGTTCGTGGCGACATCTTCAGACGGGTTCCAGACATCGAAATACCGTGAATCTCCAAGTAAGTGTCTATTTTTTTACGGATAAACTCTTAAACGTGTTCGTCGTCAAATTAGCGGGATTTTTTTCCGTCTCGGTTAGACGCGAGTGTCGTTTTTGTTTTAGCAGTTAACAAAATCCAAAACTCAACGCTAAACATCCTTGCGGCCGATTGCGTACTTTTGACTCGATAACACCGCTGCTGTTGCTACGCTCACATGGAGCAGAGACGCTCTCCACAGCCCCACGCACACGGAGACAAGAAGCCATTCAATTGCTCTGTGTGGGAAGTCATTTTCATGGCCATCATATCTTAAGAGTCACCAGAGAACATACACGGGTGAGAAGCCATTCCTGTGCCCTGTGTGTGGGAAGACATTTGCACACTCATCAACTCTTCAAACTCACCAGAGAACACACACGGGCGAGAAGCCATTCCTGTGCTCTGTGTGTGGGAAGACATTTGCACACTCATCAACTCTTCAAGATCATAAGAAAACACACACGGGCGAGAAGCCATTCCTGTGCTCTGTGTGTGGGAAGACATTTGCACACTCGTCACATCTTCAGAGACACCAGAGAACACACACTGGTGAGAAGCCGTTCCTGTGCTCTGTGTGTGGGAAGGCATTTTCACTTTCAGCAAACTGCCAACGCCATCAGAAAACACATACGGGCGAGAAGCCATTCCTGTGCCCTGTGTGTGGTAAGACATTTGCACACTCGTCAACTCTTCAGAACCATCAGAGAACACACATGGGCGAGACGCCATTCCCATGCCCTGTGTGTGGGAAGGCATTTGCACGGTCATCAACCATGAACAGGCATCAGAAGGTTCACAATGATAGGAAACTGAAATCAAAAGCTGAAATTCAAGGTGCTGCAATGAGCCCTGAAGAAGTTTCCACCTTCGATCCCATGCAGTTGGATCCCGAGAGATGGCTGGATGTAATGGAGTGGCTCGAGAGTCTACAAGAGAGCTCGGGTGACTGAAAACACCCCAAGCCCGCGCACGGCGGTTCCCGGGCGCTGTTGATATGCTAATCAGTGAGCGACGTTGGCGGCGTACATCCTAATTACTCCCTTACCCTTCCTAACAATGGGGCCTGCGCGCTCAAGCGCAATTATCCTAACCCTCCATGACTATGCGCAACAGCCCCTGTGACCCCGCTATTCATGCTGTCCCGTGCCTCCCCTGCTTGCCCCGTCGACCCGTGGGGGTGTGTGTGGGGGGAAATGCGCCTCAACCGCGGTGGCCGAATGCCCCACGCCGCGACCACACCATATTAAGGCCGGCAGCAGCGCCGCGGTACCACGTAGCACGGGGGAGGTCATCCAATTCCCTGATCGCCGGAAACCGTGAGAATTAATCCCGATAAGGGTCTCTCGGATAAAAACCGGTCGATCAGGTAACCTTCCCTTCCAGCTCTATGGGGGGGGGGATGCGTGCGGGTGTGTGCTTATGTGGGGCGGGTGATGGGGGGCAGTGCGGTGGGGGAAGCCGGGCGGCTCCCTGGCTCGGCAGAGCGGCCCCGTCGCTGTGGCACCACAGGTGCTCCAGTCAACCCGGGACGGGGACTGGCACCCCGGGGGGCTATGTGGTGCCACAACGACGGGGCCGCTCTGCCGAGCCAGGGAGCCGCCCGGCTTCCACCACTGCACTGCCCCCCATCACCCCCCCCCCCACATAAGCACGCACCCGCACCCACGTAGGGCCTTGTGGTCGGGTCACCTACCCTGAGTTTTCACCCGAGGGCCCCCCCGGGGGGTTACCCCACGGTTTCTCAGGGCCAGGGAATTGGACAGGACCCTTCCCAGGCTAAGTAACACTGCGGCGCCGTGGGCGGATTTGAGATCGCACGACCACGGCGAGCTCAGAGAGCCCCGCAGTTAGAAACGCATACAAACACAAACACGGGTCAGCAAGGCAGATAGCTAGGATCAGGACCCGGGGCTGCTGCTTAGCAAAAAGGTCAAAGGCCGGCGGGATCGCAAAAGGGCGGGAGATCCTAGGCTCAGGATTGGTCGAGAGACCAAGGCGGTCGGGACGAGGGCGCCTAGCTTTGATGTGGATGGTTTAAAAGAAAACGCAGGGGCAGTAGGGGACTCTCTTCTTCTGGAGTAGTGACACGGGGTCAACGACGAGGGAGCCATCGGGCGAGCCGCAGGATCGTCTGCAGGACGACCTGAGCGCCGCAAGGTCACCCAGGACTACAGACGGTATCGTATTACGCGCCTTACAACACCTCAGAGCGGAGAGTAGGATCCGTAGGAGAAGGTTAGTTCGGGGTAAGGACGAGTAGGAAAGCGGGGTAACAGAGGGCGCAGCATAGAATAGGGCTGCACGCCACTAGAGAGTGGGTTGGAAGCGCCTTGCTGGCTCGTACACACACACGGGTGGCTCGGTGAGTTAACAAGGGTTAATAAAATCTCGAGCGTAGTAACAAAACCGTGTTGTTGGGTGTTTTTGAACGTGGTATTAGCGTGCACTGCATTCGCGGGTGTGTGGTCGTTGTGTGCGTAAAGGCCGTGGTCTCTGTACGATGGTGCGGGTACGGAGGTGTGTGTGCTAACGCCCGGGGAGAGCACTTTTGTGTGTTGGCGTGCCTACGCAGCCGTGTGAGAGGAGAATCGTCCTTGCACGATACTTGTGTTGACGTGCACGCGCGAGTGCGGGAGGGGACGAGTCGTCGTGTCGGCGTGCACCCCGCTCGCGTGTGCGAAACCGCGGTGCGCAGTGGAGCTGTTAGCTTTGTGCGAGCTTGCGTGTGCTCGAGCGCGTAATCGGCTGCGCATTGTTGTACGGTTTATCTCGCGCGCACGGCGGCGGCAACTTGAGTCGTTGTGTCGGCGTGTGCCCCGTTGTCGTGGCCTCGTGTAATCTCGTGTTATAAGTGTGAACGCGTGCGGTACGGTGTATGCGTAAGCTCTCGTCGTGCGAAATCGGCGTACCCCAGGTGCGCGATTGTAACGTGAGCGGCCAGCGCGGCGCAGAGCGGCGCAAGAGTGGGTGCCGTGCAGAGCTGTGTGTGTGGGTGTGCGCGTACGTAATTAACCATGCCTGCTACGCGGACCCGCGGGGGAGGGGAATCCTCGGGCGACGGCTCCCACACCATGGGTGAGGAACTTAGCAGCGGTTCGCTTAGCAGCGGGGGGGCGATTGATGATGCTAGCCCGGCCGTTAGCATTATCGAGGGAGGGATCTCGGGGGCTAGCAACCCCCACAAATTGGTGTCGGAAGCGGTACGGACCCCCGCGTTACCTCACGCTAAAATAAGACTAATATTTACCGGCCGGGGGGCCCCTTCGTGGAAGGCATTCGCCCGCAATCTCTTAGGGGCCAAGGAAATTAATGGATGGACGGACGCGCAGGCAGTACGTCAACTTAATATGAATCTTGATGGGCGGGCAGCCGATTTTGTAGAAGCGTTACCCGCGAGCGCACAGACACAGCTAGAGGAGCTGATGCGCCGACTCGATCAGCGTTTTGGCACGCGTGACGAGGAGGAAGCAAAATCGGCCTTAGAGGCGCGCCGTCGCCAACCTGGCGAAGATCTACGTGATTACGCCGAGGATGTGCGCGAGTTAACAAAGATCGCACGCCCGGGGTACGCAACTGATGTTATTGAGGAACTGGCCGCCGAGAAAATCCAGCGGTACCTGTCTCGCACGGCGTGGTGGCAGCCAGACATGAGCTGCCCACGTCTTCCCTTTAACGCCCTTGTCGAGCGAAAGAATTCACAGCGAACGCGCGCAGCTCCGGGGGCTGGGACGAGAGCGCGCCATTGCGAGCCTGCTCTCGGAAGACGAGGAGGAGGAACAGGAGCTCGCGAGGACAGTAAGGGGCCGGGAAAGAGAGCCTTCAGTGTCCCGCGAGACAACCCCGGGATGGGTTGCCGGTATACAAACGGGTATAAAGGATGTCTCCGGCCAGGTAACCCAGATAGACAACAAGGTAAACCAAGTAGGTGAGAGGGTAACTCACGTAGGTGAGAGGGTAACCCAGGTACGCGAGGAAGCAAATCGATTAATAAAAAAAAATAATAAAAAAAAGCTCTACACTTGACACAAAATCTTTAAAATGTTGAGTAAAGATTTACCTACAGACGCATTCCAACTTTAGCTCAACAGGAACACCTAACGACTACAATGAACCCTCTCACAACCAGTGCTCACCACACCACTTCGGCAAGTAATCCGATAACATTACAAACCACCACTGTGCACGTGATTAAACTCTCACAAACTGTAAAATTAAAATAGTCAAAATTACACACAAAAGTACTCGATACGGCTTAATAGGTATAGCCACATGACATAATATTTTTTCAGTCACCCCGAGTTCTCGGGTTGATCCTCGAGCCACTCCATTACATCCAACCATCTCTCGGGATCCAACTGCATGGGATCGATAGTGGAATTATTTTCAGGAATCATTGCAGCACCTTGAATTCCACCTTTTGATTTCAGCTTCCTATCATTGTGGACCTTCTGATGCCTGTTCATGTTTGATGACTGTGAAAATGCCTCCCCACACACAGAGCACAAGAATGGCTTCTCGCCCGTGTGCGTTCTCTGGTGACGCTGAAGATGTGATGACTTTGCAAATGTCTTCCCACACACAGGGCAAAAGAATGGCTTCTCGCCCGTGTGCGTTCTCTGATGGTCTTGAAGAGTTGATGAGTGTGCAAATGTCTTCCCACACACAGGGCACAGGAATGGCTTCTCATCCGTGTGTGTTCTCTGGTGTCTCTTAAGATGTGATGGCCATGAAAATGCCATTCCACACACAGAGCAATTGAATGGCTTCTTGACTCCGTGTGCAAGGGGCTGTGGAGAGCGTCTCTGCTCCATGTGAGCGTAGTAACAGCAGCGGTATTATCAAGTCAAAAGTACGCTATCGGCCGCAAGGATATTTAGCGTTTGGATTTTGTTAACTGCTAAAACAAGAACGACACTCGCGTCTAACCGAGACGCAAAAAAATCCCGCAAATTTGACGACGAACACGTTTAAGAGTTTATCCGCGAAAATAGACACTTACTTCAGATTCACGGTATATCGATGTCTGGAACCCGTCTGAAGATGTCGCCACGAACTCTACCGATCCTATGTTAAGAAATTTTCAGGTGGAGGCAGCATCTTAGCTGCCTCCACCTGTTCCTTGAGGGGAAAGGTCCCCGTAGTTAATCGTTCATCAACGTACCAGTCACTAATCCCGAAGTATGTCGGGGATAAACTGTACTTTATTACTTGTAAACTGTAATAAATGAAGAGCAGAGCCCGAATCTGAAGCCACCACCCGAACATCAGCAGCAGTCGACAGCGTGATTCTAATAGGACCACGTTGTTATTATCATAATTTAATGCGATCAAAACCGCGCACCTCCCATTTTGCATTTACGACTCGCGATATGCATCTACATATAACATACATTCTAGCTCAATGTAATTCTAATACGACCAGAGTGTGATTCTAATCATTCTAATCCAATCTTAATCCCCCAGTTCGCATATCCGACCCCCGTTTCGCATGTCCAACGGACATACATATTACATACATACGACCATAGTTTGTATGTATGTAATATGCATACATATGTGCAAGTGTGATTCTATTACGATCACATTGCGATTGTAATACTTCTAATGATATTCAAATATTGATTTGAAGCTTTTGTGACTGCAGGAATTAATACTCGTTGGTTCTTTCGGTAAAGTCACGTAGTTAGAAATAAAACAAAGTAAATCACGTTTCGGACGAAACACAAGCGCCCGTCTTCAGGTGAGAATCGCGATATCCGCGATGTCTGCTGCGAGCAGCACGATGTCTGCTGCAGACTTCGTTTCGGGCGCTTGTGTTGCGTCCGAAACGTCGTGATTTATTTTGTTTTATTTATACCTACGTGACTTTACAGAAAGAACCAAAGAGTATAGATATTCTAATACCGTCCCTCCGTTTACGGTCTTATAAATTATAGAAAAAAAACTAGTTTATATTCGTTTAATGTTTAATGTTATCTTTAAAGCGTTACAGTTGACATGTTTTAGAGTACAAGTGATCTCCAGTATACTTCGGAATTAGGGAACGGAACGTTGCTAAACTATTTATAACGGGGACCTTTCCCCTCTAGGAACACATGTTGATGGTGGAGACAGCCAAGACGTTGCCGGTTAAGGTCAGACTTGTGTTGCTGCTGCTGCAGTTGCTGCAGTTGCTGCTGCTGCAGTTGCTGCTGCTGCAGTTGCTGCTGCTGCAGTTGCTGCTGTTGCTGCTGCTGCAGTTGCTGCTGCTGCAGTTGCTGCTGCTGTAGTTGTTGCTGCTGTAGTTGTTGCTGCTGCAGTTGCTGCTGCAGTTGCTACTGCAGTTGCTGCTGCTGCAGTTGTTGCTGCTGCAGTTGCTGCTGATTATGCAGTTGCTTCTGCTGCTGCTGTTGCTGCTGCAGTTGCTGCTGTTGCTTCTGCTGCTGCTGTTGTTGCTGCTTAATATGCTTCAGTTCCAATGGTGTTCCGTGATGGGATAACAAACTTTGATCAAATACTTTTATCAAACGAGTCATTACAATCGTAACGATTCATAATTTCACGGGCTAATATTGGGTTTGTGCGATTATTTAACATATTCATACTGAATATTGTTATTTGATTACATTGAGATGGAACATTCATCCCGCAGTGGACAGCTTGATCCTAATACCACCAAAGTGTCATTCAAGTAATTTTAATCCCATCCTGATCCTGCACCTTCCGTTTCACATATCACACCCTTGGTTCGCACGTCCATATTACATACATACATGTTACATACATGCATGTACCATGTTATATACATACATGTTACATGCATACATGTTACATGCACATATACTTACTACAAACAGATATGTTCCATACATACATGTTACATACTTACGACCGTAGTGTGATTCGAATAATTCGAATGCGATTCGAAAATCACACTTCAAGGTAGGTTGTTCTAATCTATAACACTAGTTAATAATGTTATTGTATAGCCTTATAATGTATAGCTCATATGTTATATTGTTAGAGTTCACATACTAGTTTACAGTAATTTGTAGATTCTTCAAATGTATATGTGAATTTTTTTAAGTTACCACTGTTGAAGTTCATAATGTTAAAGTTCACAGTGTGAGAATTTACAATGTGAGAGTATATCCAAGACGACGATCGATAGCGTTGGTCTGGTAGGTTGGTGTCACGGGACACCAACATGCTGCCGATATAACAGTAACAGAAGCAACTACAGCAGCTATGAAACCATTCGATGGCAAAGCAGCGACTTCTTCTTCAATCTGAGAGTTTGTGGCCGTGCCCTGTTCTCGTGGGACCCGACACGGATTTGGAAATAATTGCTATGATCATGTCTGAGCTGAGATGAGCGACTAATGTTTACTTTGTTTAATCATAACTGTGCGTAGGTTAGTGCCATCGGTGCTGAGTGAATACTACTCATGAATGAACTCATTCTTCTTTCGGATAGAAATTTGAAATCGTTTTGGTAGAACAATTCGCTTTCCTTTTCGAGACGAATTGTTATCTTCAAGTGCGCCCGTAAATATACTGCTAAAATACACAGCATAGGGAAGGCTGCCTTGTTCGGGAGATGTAGTTTGGCTAAGTCGCTGTGGCCGGGTGATGACACGGATTCTGAAACAATGGAGTTAAACACTCGCTGCTTGGCCCCGTCGACAGCAGCGAAGACTGTCATATACCGCCCCATTTACGAGTTGGCTGTATAATGTGTATAGTTAAACGTGATAGGTGTTGTCTTTTTCTAACAGCTACTAACATGCGTGTGTTGTCTGTTTTTAGGATTTGTCCATTGATGTTGTTCTTTTTATTGCGGCGTTTTTTTGTTGAGTTCTGTCACTTGAGTGTTGCAGTTTGTTTAAGAATTCGTCACGTGAGCGTGGTGTTTTGCTTGTGGGAATGTCGCTTTGTCACAATTTGTGATTGTTATAATAATTGTAACGATACATAATCTCATGAGTTTATAATGGGTTTGTGCTTGTATTTATATAAATAATTCCGTCTTTTGTTATTCGATGACATCTAGCAGTGAAAATCGTGATTGTAATATGACCATGTTGTAATTGTAATAATTTTTATCCGATCCTTGCACGTACACTATACAAACATATTAGCAGAGTGCGATTCTTATACGACCACACTGTGATTCTGATGCTTCTAATGATATTATAATACCTTACCTCCGTTTATATGGTTATAAATTAAAACACTAGTTTATAATCATTTAATGTTTAGTGTTATCGTTTATAGTATTACAGTTTACATGTTATAGAGTACAGTTTATCCCCGACATACTTTGGATTAGGGACTGTTACGTTGATGAACGATTAACTACGGGGACCTTTCCCCTCAAGGAACACGTGTTAATCGTGTAGACAGCCAAGATGCACACTTGTGTGACGGAGATCCTCCACCTGAAACTCGCTTAACATGTTTTTTCTAGGAACATTATAAAATAAAGAACGGACAAACATTTGTTAAAAATACGTTTTTATTCATCTGCAATCATTTTTACGTCAAAACTCGAAGGGAATATTTATTACATTTCCAGTACAATGCAAACTATTTCCGTTCCAGGAATACCAAAGCGTTAAAGTATCATTCCCCATGATTTCCTTATTAGTTCACCACATTTGTTCACTGTGCGTCTATGTTGAAGTTAAGGCCATATATCCAACGAACGCGTCATCAATGTACATCCTAAAATCGCTATCTAAAGTCGATTAATACCAATCAAAAAAAGCCATATACTTGAAAAAAAAACTTTTAAATGTTGAGTAAAGATGTATCTACAGACGCAATCCAACTTTAGCTCAACAGGAACACTTAACGACTACAATTGAACCCTCTCACAACCAGAGCTCATCACACCACTTCGGCAAGTAATCCGATAACATTACAAACCACCACTGTGCACGTCATTAAACTCTAAAAAAACTGTAAAACTAAAATGGTCAAAATTATACACAAAAGTACTCGATACGGATTTAAAAGGTATAACCACATGACGTAATTTTTTTTCAGTCACCCCGAGCTCTCTGGTTGACTCTCGAGCCACTCCATTACATCCAGCCATCTCTCGGGATCCAACTGCATGGGATCGAAGGTGGAAACTTCTTTAGAACTCATTGCAGCACCTTGAATTTCAGCTTTTGATTTCAGTTTCCTATCATTGTGGACCTTCTGATGCCTGTTCCTGGTTGATGACTGTGAAAATGCCTCCCCACACACAGAGCACAAGAATGGCTTCTCGCCTGTGTGCGTTCTCTGGTGACGCTGAAGATGTGATGACTTTGCAAATGTCTTCCCACACACAGGGCACAAGAATGGCTTCTCGCCCGTGTGCGTTCTCTGATGAGTGTGAAGAGTTGTCGATTGTGCAAATGTCTTCCCGCACACAGGGCACAGGAATGGCTTCTCGCCCGTGTGCGTTCTCTGATGAGTTTGAAGAGTTGTCGATTGTGCAAATGTCTTCCCGCACACAGGGCACTGGAATGGCTTCTCGCCCGTGTGCGTTCTCTGATGAGTTTGAAGAGTTGTCGATTGTGCAAATGTCTTCCCACACACAGGGCACAGGAATGGCTTCTCACCCGTGTGTGTTTTCTGGTGACTCTGAAGATGTGATGAGTGTGCAAATGTCTTCCCACACACAGAACACAGGAACGACTTCTCGCCCGTGTGTGTTCTCTGGTGTCTCTGAAGATCTGATGGCCGTGAAAAGGACTTCCCACACACAGAGCAATTGAATTGCTTCTTTCCTCCGTGTGCGTGGGGCTGTGGAGAGCGTCTCTGCTCCATGTGAGCGTAGTAACAGCAGCGGTGTTATTGAGTCAAAAGTACGCTATCGGCCGCAAGGATGTTTAGCGTTTTGGATTTTGTTAACTGCTAAAACAAGAACGACACTCGCGTCTAACCGAGACGCAAAAAAATCCTGCTAATTTGACGACGAACACGTTTAAGAGTTTATCCGCGAAAATAGACACCTACTTGGAGATTCACGGTATATCGATGTCTGGAACCCGTCTGAAGATGTCGCCACGAACTCTCCCGACGCAAAGTCGCCTAACTGTCGACTCAGCAATTGTGCTCGCCAGGCTGCGTTGTCTCGCGGTAGAAGGGCGATCAGCAGAGCGACGAGTCGAGCGTCCAACCTCATCAAGTTCCCTCTCGAAATGGCATTGAGCTCTGCTTCTGAGCCGCCTTATAACTCCCCCCCTAGGATCCAATCCTTTGTCTTTCAGGATATTTGCATTCGATTGGTAATTTTGGAAGGTACAATCCGCATGTCTATTAACATACCGAAGGGTAATGTGCCCATTGTGCTTCATGCATGAATATGTAAGTGCATCTCAGTGTGTAATTGTACGCTTATTTTGAATAAATGGAAAAACTTTGTCCTCGATTTAAAGTGAATGCAGTGAAATTAGCATGTAACTTTAGAAAAGGAAGAGAGCGGCCTTCTCGACGAGGGAGTGAAACCCAATAGGTAATATTATTTTACAGCGTTACAATGGATAGGTTGTAGTTCATAGGTTATAATATTATGTTTCACTATGATAGAGCTTAACATGTGAGAGTCTACAATATTAGAGTTGATCAAATGCGACGATCAAGGGCGTCAATCGGGTGAGTTTGATCAGAGGCTTTAATCAAAGGCGTCATCCCATCACGGAACACCACCTCCCTGCGTTTATTGCAGCAACAGAAACAACTACAGCAGCAACAACAGCAGCAGCGACAACAAAAGCAGCAACATCACATTTCGAGGGCAACGCAGCTACTTCCGATTCTGCTGCCCAGCTGTTTGTAGTCGGCACCTGCTCTCGCACGACCCTACACGTCTTTGGAAATGATTTCGATGATCATGTCTGAGCTGAGAATTAGGTCACTCAAGATTACTTTGTTTAACCATAACTTTAGGTAGGTTAGTGTCATCGGGGCTGTGTGACCACTACTCATGAATGAAATCACACTCCTGTATGACCGACATTGTACTAATTTTGGTTGATCGAGTAGAACAAGTCACATGACATGTCCAGACGAGTTATTATCAACAATAGTGTCCTTATATATGATGCTAAAATAAATGTTAACACTGGATTAAACGTGCATCTCTTAACCCCTCCCTCGCATTTACGACTAACGATTTGCATTTGCACGTAACATACATTCAAGCCCATTAAAATGCTAATACGACCATATTGTTATTCTGAAATTTGAATGCAAGTCTTGCCCTGTACCCCCACACCCCACGGTTCACATATCCGACCCCCGATTGAACAGATAATTTACATACACATCTGTATGTCCCCCAAGTTGCTCCGCCTATGGTGGGGTCAGGTAGAGGTCATAGAGGTGGGTGATGTAAAGACAGTGCCTCAACTAAGGGACAAGTGGTGACAACAAGATAGAGAGAGTTCGAGAAGGGAAGGCGAGACCAAGTGTGGGCGGAGGTTCACGCCGAGAATGAGAGAGGGGGAGGAACGAGGTTTGGGGCTGTGTTGGCTGGTTGCTGTCTCGTCGTCGTCGTTGCTATATCGTGACGCCTGGGGTCTGAAACCGCGTTAAAGGCTAAATAAAAGAACCCTCTGCAGTGTGAGTCCAGAGTCATTGCAATTGTAACGGTTCATTATTTAACGGGCTAATATTGGGTTTGTGCGATTATTTTACATATTCATACTGAATATTGCTATGTGATGCCATTGAGATGGAACATTCATCCAGCAGTGGGCAGCTTGATCCTAATACCACCAAAGTGTTATTCAAATAATTTTAATCCCATCCTGATCCTGCACCTACCGTTTCACATAACCCACCATTGGTTCGCACGTCCAAATTACATATATGTTACATGCATACATACTACATAGAGACATATCTCATGCATACATATTACATACAGACATGTTACATACATACATATTACATACAGACATGTTACCTACTCACGAGCATAGTGTGATTCTTAGAGAACCACGGTGTGAAGCTAAGAATTCGAATGAGATTTAAATACCACACTTCAATGTTCGGTGTTCTAATCTGTAATACTAGTTTGTGATGTAATTTTATAGCGTTATAATGTATCGCACATAGCTTATATTGTTAGAGTTCACAACATTATAGTTTACTATAACACTAGTTTGTAGTGTTATTTTAGAACGTCGCAATGTATAGCTCATAGTTTAAAGCTTATATTGTTAGAGTTTATAATGTTAGAGTATGCAATGTGAGTTTACAATTTGAGAGTTTGTGGACGTGCCCTGTTCTCGTGGGACCCGACACGGATTTGGAAATAATTGCTATGATCATGTCTGAGCTGGGATGAGCGACGAATGTTTACTTTGCTTAATCATAACTGTGTGTAGGTTAGTGCCATCGGTGCTTAGTGAATACTACTCATGAATGAACTCATACTTCTTTCGGATAGAAATTTAAATCATGTTGGTAGAACAAGTCGCCTGTCTTTTCTAGACTAATTGTTATCTTCAAGTGCGTCAGTAAATATACTGCTAAAATGCACAGCATAGGGGAGGCAGCCTTGTTGAGGAGATGTAGTTTGGCTAAGGCGCTGTGGCCGGGTGATGACACGGATTCAGAAACAATGGAGTTAAACACTCGCTGCTTGGCCCCGTCGACAGCAGCGAAGGCTGTCATATACCGCCCCATTTACGAGTTGGCTGTATGATGTGTATAGTTGAAGGTGCTAGGTGTTGTCTTCTTCTAACAGCTACTAACGTGCGTGTGTTGTCTGTTTTTAGGATTTGTCCATTGATGTTTTTTTTTTATTGCGGAGTTTTTTTGTTAAGTTCTGTCACTTGAGTGTAGCAGTTTGTTTAAGAATTCGTCACGTGAGCGTGGTGTTTTACTTGTGGGAATTTCGCTTTGTCACAATTTGTGATTGTTATAATAATTGTAAAGATTCATAATCTCATGAGTTTATAATGGGTTTGTGCGTGATTCTTATACGACCACACTGTGATTCTAATGCTTCTAATGATATTATAATACCTTACCTCCGTTTAAATGGTTATAAATTAAAACACTAGTTTATAATCGTTTAATGTTCAGTGTTATCGTTGATAGTATTACAGTTTACATGTCATAGAGTACAGTTTTTCCCCGACATACTTCGGAATTAGAGACTGGTACGTTGATGAACGATTAACTACGGGGACCTTTCCCCTCAATGAACACGTGTTAATCGTGTAGACAGCTAAGATGCTGCGGGTTAAGGGCACACTTGTGTGATGGAGATCCTCCATCTGAAACTCTCTGAACATGTTTTTGCTAGGAACATTATACAATAAAGAACTGACAAACATTTGTTAAAATACGTTTTTATTCATCTGCAACAATTTTACGTCAAAACTCGAAGGCAATGTTTATTACGTCCTATGTTCAAACAGTTACAGTACAATGCAAACCATATCCGTTCCAGGAATACCAAAGCGTTAAAGTATCATTCCCCATGATTTCCTTATTAGTTCGCAACGTTTGTTCACTGTTCGTCTGTGTTCAAGTCAAGGCCATATATCCAACGAACGCGTCATCAATGTACATCCTAAAGTCGACTATTATCAACCAAAAAAAGCTTAATACTTGAAAAAAACGTTTAAAATGTTGAGTAAAGATCTAACTACAGATGCATTCCAACTTTAGCTCAACAGGAAGACTTAAACACTACAATATTGTCCGGAATTGAACCATCTCACAACCACTGCTCATCACACCACTTCACCAAGTAATCCGACAACATCAAAAATCACCACCTGCACGTCAAGAAACTCTCAAACAAACTGTAAAACTAAAGAGTCAGAATTACACACAAAAGTACTCAAGACAGCTTAATAGGTATAACCGCATGCAACATTATATTTAAGTCACCGCTAGCTCTCGGGTTGATCCTCGAGCCACTCCATTACATCCAGCCATCCCTCGGGATCCAACTGCATGGGATCGAAGGTGGAATTATCTTCAGGACTCATTGCAGCACCTTGAATTTCAGCTTTTGATTTCAGCTTCCTATCATCGTGGACCTTCTGATGCCTGTTCCGTTTTGATGACTGTGCAAATGTCTTCCCACACACAGGGCACAGAAATGGCTTCTCGCCCGTGTGTGTTCTCCGATGGTTTTGAAGAGTTGATGCCTGTGCAAATGCCTCCCCACACACAGAGCACAGGAATGGCTTCTCGCCCGTGTGTGTTCTCTGATGGTCTTGAAGAGTTGACGAGTGTGCAAATGCCTCCCCACACACAGAGCACTGGAATGACTTCTCGCCCGTGTGTGTTCTCTGATGAGTTTGAAGAGTTGACAATTGTGCAAATGCCTTCCCACACGCAGAGCACAGGAATGGCTTCTCGCCCGTGTGTGTTCTCTGGTGTCTCTGAAGATGTGATGGCCGTGAAAAGGACTTCCCACACACAGAGCAATTGAATGGCTTCTTGCCTCCGTGTGCGTGGGGCTGTGGAGAGCGTCTCTGCTCCATGTGAGCGTAGTAACAGCAGCGGTGTTATCGAGTCAAATGTACGCTATCGGCCGCAATGATGTTTAGCGTTGAGTTTTGGATTTTGTTAACTGCTAAAACAAGAACGACACTCGCGTCTAACCGAGACGCAAAAAAATACCGCTAATTTGACGACGAACACGTTTAAGAGTTTATCCGCGAAAATAGACACTTACTTGGAGATTCACGGTATATCGATGCCTGGAACCCGTCTGAAGATGTCGCCACGAACTCTCCCGACGCAAAGTCGCCTAACTGTCGACACAGCAATTGTGCTCGCCAGGCTGCGTTGTCTCGCGGTTGAAGGGCGATCAGCAGAGCGACGAGTCGAGCGTCCAACCTCATCAAGTTCCCTCTCGAAATGGCATTGAGCTCTGCTTCTGAGCCGCCTTATAATTCCCCCGCTAGGATCCAATACTTTGTCTTTCAGGATATTTGCATTCGATTGCTAATTTTGGAAGGTACAATCCGCATGTCTGTTTACATACCGAAGGGTAATGTGCCCATTGTGCTTCATGCATGCATATGTAAGTGCATCTCAGTGTGTAATTGTGCGCTTATTTTGAATAAATGGGATTAGCGCTGAAAAAACACGTTCCCCATGCCCTCCATTGTCCTCGATTTAAAGTGAATGCAGCCCCGTGGCGTTGCCAAAAACCGCAAAGCTTCGCGAGTGAGCACGTACAGACGCGTAGTGACCACACTTGCAATACAATCACTCTAACATCAGTAACCAAAATCCGATCTGGTACGTGGTCTCCGCTTGGTCTGGTTTGTATCCGTCATCACTCCGGAGACAAACAGCGAGGCATGGTTTGGCCAGCAACCACCTCGTTTGCCGCAGCGACTTTAATAGCTGCTCTCAAACAACACTATCACCAATAGTGGTTTACAGGCTAGGCTGTTAAGCGGACAATCAGTCTTTTTGGGCAAGGCGCATGGGATAATACACACCTCTGTTATCCCACAAACACAATACACAGCAGCGGGAAGGCTGCCTTGTTGGGGAGATGTAGTTTGGGTAAGGTGCTGTCACTGGAGTTAGGCGATGTGACTGGGTTATCACGCGGATTCCGAAAAGCAGCTTAGACGAAACGATCCACTGCGCTCCATCTCCCCACATGGACAACGACATTCTAAATTTGTAAAAAATTGAAAACATATTTTTAAATACGTATTTGAAATAATGTGGTGTATATATGTTACCATGTGTGTTTGTTATGATTTTTGTATGTGTATATATACTGTATATAGCATTTCGATTGTAACGATTCATAAGCTCATTATATTATAATGGGTATGTGCGTGTATTTATATATAAATATGCCGTCTTTTGAATTTCGATGATAATGAGATGAGACCTTCATCTTGCAGTGAACATCGTGATTGTAATACGACCGTGTTGTAATTTTTTATCATTTTTATCCGATCCTTGCACGGAGACTATACATACATATGAGTGTGATTCTAATACAACCACACTGTGTACAGTACAGGACATGAATCGCATTCAAATTTTAGAATAACAATATGGTCGTATTAGCATTTTACTGTGCTTGAATGTATGTTATGTGCAAATGCAAATCGTTAGTCGTAAATGCGAGGGAGGGGTTAAGAGGTGCACGTTAAATCCAGTTTAAACATTTATTTTAGCATCATATTTAAGGACATTGTTGTTGATAATAATTCGTCTGGACATGGCACATGCCTTGTTCTACTCGATCAACCAAAATTAGTACAATGTCGGTCATACAGGAGTGTGATTTCATTCATGAGTAGTATTCCCAGAGCCCCGATGACACTAACCTACCTAAAGTTATGGTTAAACAAAGTCATCTTGAGTGACTTAATTCTCAGCTCAGACATGATCATCGCAATCATTTCCAAAGACGTGTGGGGTCCTGCGAGAACAGGTCCCGACTACAAACAGCTGGGCAGCAGAATCGGAAGTAGCTGCGTCGCCCTCAAAATGTGATGTTGCTGCTGTTGTTGTCGCTGCTGTTGTTGCTGCTGTAGTTGCTTCTGTTGCTGTAATAAACGCAGGGAGGTGGTGTTCCGTGATGGGATGACGCCTTTGATAAAAGCCTCTGATCAAACTCACCCGATTGACGCCCTTGATCGTCGCATTTGATCAACTCTGATATTGTAGACTCTCACATGTTAAGCTCTATCATAGTGAAACATAATATTATAACCTATGAACTACAACCTATCCATTGTAACGCTGTAAAAGAATATTACCTATTGGGTTTCACTCCCTCGTCGAGAAGGCCGCTCTATTCCTTTTCTAAAGTTACTTGCTAATTTCTCTGCATTCACTTTAAATCGAGGACAAAGTTTTTCCATTTATTCAAAATAAGCGCACAATTACAAACTGAGATGCACTTACATATTCATGCATGAAGCACAATGGGCACATTACCCTTCGGTATGTTAATCTACATGCGGATTGTGCCTTCCAAAATTAACAATCGAATGCAAATATCCTGAAAGACAAAGGATTTGATCCTAGGCGGGGAGTTATAAGGCGGCTCAGAAGCAGAGCTCAATGCCATTTCGAGAGGGAACTTGATGAGGTTGGACGCTCGACTCGTCGCTCTGCTGATCGCCCTTCAACCGCGAGACAACGCAGCCTGGCGAGCACAATTGCTGTGTCGGCCGTTAGGCGACTTTGCGTCTGGAGAGTTCATGGCGACATCTTCAGACGGGTTCTAGACATCGATATACCGTGAATCTCCAAGTAGGTGTCTATTTTCACGGATAAACTCTTAAACGTGTTCGTCGTCAAATTAGCGGGATTTTTTTGCGTCTCGGTTAGACGCGAGTGTCGTTCTTGTTTTAGCTGTTAACAAAATCCAAAACTCAACGCTAAACATCCTTGCGGCCGATAGCGTACTTTTGACTCGATAACACCGCTGCTGTTACTTCGCTCACATGGAGCAGAGACGCTCTCCACAGCCTCACGTACACGGAGGCAAGAAGCCATTCAATTGCTCTGTGTGTGGGAAGACATTTTCATGGCCATCACATCTTCAGAGACACCAGAGAACACACACGGGCGAGAAGCCGTTCATGTGCCCTGTGTGTGGGAAGACATTTGCACATTTGTAGGGGTTATTACGGGAGAAACGGCGGACAACAAACACAGGGCTGTCGGCACTCACATACATGGGTGGTCACACCGACGTCCGCATCAGTTATTGCCCACGCCCCCAGCCCTCGGAGGCGATCCCTATAAAAGGTGGAGACCCAAAGAGCTCGAGTTCAGTTCGACACGAAGCTGACCAGTGAAGATCCAAGACTCGGAGATTAGGCCCTGGGACTCCCCGGTCTCGCCGTCCTTATAAGGGCCGAGCCGGGTAAGCCAGTGGCGCGGCCCAAGAGCTTCCAGACCGCTGCCCTTATCAGGGCAAGGCTGGTTAGCTGGTGCCGAGATCTGTGCTTGCCAGGGCCAGATCAGTCAGCCTCCCGTAGCCCAGTAGAGGAGGACTGGGGGACAGGACAGAGGGCTTAGGACTAGGGTGGGTTTCCCATAGTACGGGTGAAGGGGCCGATACCCCTTCAACTATTGTACCTGTCCCGGAGTTAATAAACAGAGTGTGCCTCCACTTCGACATCGTCTCCTCGAACTTACTACATCTGGTGTTGGAAGTGGTCCAAGCATGGATACGAGACGGAAGACTCGTGCCCAAGACCCAGGAGAGGATGACGACGAGGGAGGGGCAGTGCAAGACATCACCGCCGACGTACCTGCACAACTGCTGCCGGCTCCGACATCGGCGGGGTCGTCAGAGAGGGCCGGGACGTCGACTGACGAGTTGGCGTTGGCTCACTCGCGGCTGGCGGAGCTCTTGTATGCAGCGGCCGCTATGCTGGAACAAATAACTCGCCTGGGGCCGGGAGGAGCGACGCGGCGGGAAGATGGACAACGCCCGCCAGAAACTCCCGCCTTTACAACAGCGGGGCGACTCGAAATTCCCGCCACGAAGACAGTAGGGGCGGAGGGAGGAGTCCCAGCTCGTCACGCGGGGGACGGAGCCCAGCCAGCAGCCGCCACGTCATCGGCGGAGGCGGGTCGCAGTGGCGGCCTATCAGGGGTTGCAACGTCACCACCATCGGACGCCAGCACCGACCAAGCCCCGACCAACACGTCACTGCCGGCGCGACACCCATTAGAGTCCGCCATTACTCATACAGTACGGGGACGCGATACAGATGCTGCAAGAGGATCGGAGACGGAGCCGACATTCCAGCAACGCCTGCCGGCCCTGCAGGTATTTGTTGCAAGCGACGGCGATTGGGGGGGGTTCCAGCGCCGGTTTTTGGCCCACCAAGAGATGGCGGGCTGGTCGGACAACGAGGCGCTGTGTGCTCTCCCGGCGTTACTGGACGGCGACGCCCTGGGCACCCTCACCGCTGCACCCAAGTCGGCACGCTCCACGATTCAGTCGGCGCTGCAGCTGCTGGCCACCGTTTATGGGCCGCCCTCCGATTGTCGCCAGCTCTTCTATGAACGGCAGAAGGGTGACAAGGAATCGCCACTCGCTTATTGCACGGCGCTGTTGTCATTGGCGAAAGACGCTTTCCCGCGTATGGATGAAGAAGGGATCGATGCGATGGTGGCCGAGAAAATTTTGCTGCTGGCTGACGATTTGGACTTCACCATCCTAGCACAGGACGATGCGGATATGTCATCCCTGCGGGCTGCAAGGCACATTCACGCCAATCTCATCTCCCAGCGGAGGAAGGCGAACAAAGCAGCTGCACGACACACCGTGGCGGCGACCTCTTCCGGAATGGAGGGAGCCTTCGCTGCGGATCGTTCTGCAGGATGGCGATCTGCCGAGCGACCGGCTCGGGACGTTCCGAGCCATCGAGACCAGCCCAAGTCCTCTGGAGCGCTCGTCGTCTGCTATAATTGTGGCCTCCGGGGCCACGTGGCGTCCGGATGCCGGGCTCCTCGACAGCGCGGTGCGAGACCTGGAGCTGCGGACGGCCCTCCTCACAAGCCTTCGCAACATCTTCGGGCAAGTCATGGCACCCCACATGTTCGGCCTGCACACACACCCACTTTCCTCTCACAAGGTCCGACACACGATTCTCGGGGTTTGGGTGCTGGTGCGTCGGGTCGCGGCATGTCGGGGAGGGCGCTCCAACCGGGCCAATGGTCCGAGTTGGCTCACCGAGTTGTGGCTGCATCGGCGGGGTCGTCCGTTGTCGCGGGGCATATTGACGGGGTGGAGGTACGGCTACTGGTTGATACGGGAGCTTCGGCAACTATTATTTCGGATTTAATTTATA